TCTGCACTTCGGGTCGGCCAAACATGCTGAGCATGTTCGGCCGACCCGAAGCCATGCGAAGCAAGCTGATGTACGGCTGAAATTAGCCGTACCAGCCTGAAGTGAATAGCCGAACAGCGTGCGGCTCACTTCACTTCTGATCGGTCATTCACTCGGCTGCCCTCGGCAGCTTCGTGAATAGACCCCTTAGTTAGCTGAAGTGCCATCATGGTAATTTCCAGCTGCTTCTTTTTTTTTGGACTCACATTGTGACCCTGATGAAGTCCAGATAAAGAAACACAAAGGACAGGTCCTATTGGGTGATATTATCACGTTTTAGGGAACGCTCTATAACCAGTCATTGTTATGGTTCCTGTTGCATGGAGTCAGTGTTATTTTATGCACGCCGAGGATATCTATATCATGTTGTTTCAATAGTGCTGATTTGCACTCCTCAAATATGAGTTCTATGCTCTTTTATTTAGACAAAAACCTTTTAAGTTGTATTTCACTTTTGGACAGCCTATGTTTTTTTGAGTACACAGTTCAGGGAGAGAGATTGTTTCATGTTGTTCATGTTACTGATGGGGGTTTAATACCTGGCATTCAACGTAAGTGCAATTTACCTTCCTATTATTAGGGGTCAATATGTGACTGTGAGCTGTGTTTCTAAGGTGCTGGCACCAGCACAGTGTGCGGTTTTTAAGCACAATAATGTGGTGGATCAAATCTAATGTGCATAATAAGATTTATTATTGATGGACTATATATTATTTTAACAGGGTTATTCACAAAAGGGTGAAGAGTTTGGAGAAGGCAGGAGAAGTGAACAATCCAGGACAACATAGCTGATTTGGAAAAATTCTCCATTTCTACTCACTTTCCAGTTCAGCTATGTTGTCCTAGATTGTTGACTTCTCCTGCCTTCTCCAAACTCTTCACCCTTTTGTGAATAGACCTTTAAATGCTTATATTACTTTGATTACAGTGGTTCCTTTGTCTGATGTTATAATTTGTTTTTGTTTTTTTGTGAGGATGACTGCTTTTATCATTTAATATTCACTTACATAGTTTGCACAGATTAGTATTTTGTCTTATTTTTTGAGGGCACGGTTCTCTTATTGTATTTTTACCTGTAATTTTTTTTTACAGTTATGTTTATTATAGTTATGTTTATTATATATGGATTATATTGTATTTCCTTTTTCATCTGTCATATTGATTGCAGTGCTTCCTTGGTATGGCGTTACAGTGTCATTTGTAAAATAATAATTGTTACAGCTTACAAATTCTGTTTTAGATGTTTGGTTGGAATTTGGCTGTAAATTGTGTTCCTCTCCTTTGACTACACTGAGGTTTCCAGACACAGCTTGGTACACTTTTCATGACTTTTATATACATTTTCATAAGAAATGGACTCAGAATTTTATTTAAATAAAGTTACATTTTATTTTGAGTACAGGTCCACCCTAAACACATTAAACTGAAAACTCAATTGCACGTTGTAATCCCCAACACCTCCCAGTCATTGAAGCCAAAATGCAGGCTGACACTGGACCATGCATGATGGAGAAACTGGAGATGGACTTTAATTGATTTCACTGCCGGCTTTTTTTTTTAGTATTCTGAACAAATACATAGGGGCCTATTCACAAAGCAGACGAAGGATCTAGCCATAGCTTCGGCTGATGCTCTGGCTAGCTTTGGCCCCAGGAACCCTTCGGTTCAGTTGAACCAAAGGGCCTCTGTACGGGCTATTCACTATAGCAGAATAAAAAAAATATTGCACCCGCCCACTGCTGCTGTCAATCAGAAGAGGGGACCTGCAGTTGCTATTGGCTATTGCAAATTGAAATAGCCAATAGGAATCTAGCTATGCATTCCTATGGTGAATTTTTTTAATTTATTTTTTTTGACGGCAGCAGAACCGCCCGGCCAATAGAAAACAGTTGGGGCGGAGCTAGCTGTCACTGCTAGCTCCGCACAATCGTTTTCTATTGTTTTTTTTCTACTTTTTAAACTATTTTGCTATTCTGCTCGTTGCCTCAGTGGCATTCGGCTATTTACTCACTACTGTTCGGCATCTATGAGAATAGACCAAACAGCAGCGGGTAGCTTGATGGAGATGTCGGATCGGCTGAGTCGAACTCCTTCTGCACTTCGGGTCGGCCGAACATGCTGAGCATGTTCGGCTGACCCGAAGCCACACAAAGCCGACCGATGTATGGCTGATTTCAGCCGATATACGGCTGGAATCAGCCATACCAGCCTGAAGTGAATAGCCGAACAGCGTTCGGGTCGGTTGTTCACTCGGCTGCCTACGGCAGCTTAGTGAATAGATCCCATAATTTCAATACAACACCAATTTCCCCCCAATTTTTTAAAATGAAAAAGCAAGATTGAGCGGCCAAATGCACATTTCCTGTGAAGCAGCTGTTAAAGTACAACTAAAGGCTGCTGTATGACTGTATAAGGCCTGGCTTGCATTTTGGCGGCCCGGTTGTGTGCCACAGTTGCCGTGCGGCCCTGTTGATTTCAGTGGGGTCATATCCGCTGGGCAACCGTGGCAAAAAGGTTGATGCACCTTTTGAGTGCGATGAGCGACCCGCAGTTTTTTGCAGCCACAATTGAGAGTGGTTGCAACCACGTAGATTACTAGCTGCGATTGGGGTGCTATTAGAAATGAACGACACCACAAGCACAGATTGAATTTGTGCGTGATTCAGAGATTGCACGGTGACTGCGCATGAAACTGTGTGGATCTCCGCTCAATCTCAGATCGCTCAGATGTGAACCAGGTCTCAACAAGTACCAAATCCACTTACTATGAGATGCACAAAGCTATAAAGTGAACATAAATCCCTTTACCTTCCCTGAGTGATCCAAGTCAATAATTTTAGGGTTAGTTTCACTTTCATAAAATATAGTAGCTGCTTATAAATTCCCCCTAGTTCTTTTGGGCACAATTTCATACCCAGGCTGATTTTGAGATCAGTATCAGTGAGAACTGTGTTAAAAATATGCTTCACTGTTTAAATGTATACAAAAACTGAAAAAACAATTATATTTAACTATAAAATACCATCATTTCACACTGAGTTAAGAGACATTCTTTGTGATCACAAAAGAAAATCATATTTAATCACTGCTTCATTTATTATAAGAACATATACTTTTTATTCTAAAAATGGCATCAGAGATTAAATAAAAATAAATTAAATTAAATTAAAAATAAATATTAGGTGTCAGTCTTTGTTATTTACTTGATATTTACTTATTGTAATTAATTATTTTTTAGCTCAGCTCCAGACAAAACTTTTTTCCTTTTTTTAGAAGGCTTTTTTTAGAAGGCTCTTTTCCCCCTTTCTCTTTGCTTCCTTTCAATCTGGCAGGTGTCAGGCAGCACAGCAAGCAAGGGAAAATCTCCCTATTTCCTTTTTATTTCAAGGGTATCAGACACAACAGGAAGTGAGGGGAAATCCTTTTAATGCACATAAATAAAAACATATAATAATTTATATTACAAAAAAAACATATAATGATTTATATTACCTTGAATAAAAGTTAGAACCTCTGTCAGATTTGTATTGGTGTCTGTGTTCTCATGAGGGAGATCCCCTCACTTCCTGTACAGGTAACGAGTATTCATATGAAAAAAGAAGAGACATTTCTTTTGTAGGGACAAATACATAATTTATGCTACTCAGTCCTGGAGTACTGTGAGTTCTGCCGGGGTGATGATCTACCCCTAGTGAGTTTATAACCAACATGCTGGGCTCATAGGAAATAGGAAGAATGACATGACTGCCGCCAAAGAAACGAGGAAGAGATTGGGGACAGCACTGTAGCATGGAGAGGGTAAATAGAATGTAATTGTTTTTAACAAAGGAAGAGGGGGGAACTTTTAATTTATTTGAATGAAACTGGAGTTCAACTTTAAAGCTTAAAGCAGTAACTCTTTCTAGCTCTATCCAAAACTAAAAAAAAGTCTGATTTGGGGTTTTAGTTTATATTTAGAAGAAAATTATCCAACAGTAAAATGAAATTATATCACAGTAATATCATTGCATTTTGTTCCAAAGAATTACA